ACAGCCCCAGGATGGATCAGACCCCCAAAATTTGGGATGAGAAGAGCAGTGGAGGTGCTGCTTGTCCATCAACAGCCCCAGGATGGATCAGAGCCCCAAATTTGGGATGAGGGAGATGCTGGAGGTGTTACCCTCCCAGGATGGATCCCCAAAATTTGAGATGGGGGAGATGTCAGACTTGCTGCCCTCCCAGGATGGGTCAGACCCCCAAAACTCAGGTGGGGCAGCAGGAACGGGATCATCCCGATGTTCCAGACCAGCAGAATTCCTGCCCCTGGGAATAACATCGGATTTATCCCCCCGTTCCCCAAATCCAGGGCCCCGCCGAGGAGCCAAAACCATCCTGGAGGCGACAATTTGGGATTGTGCGAGGCAGGGAAGGGCCGGGGGGAGCCCCGGGCCGTGTTTTCCTTCGGCCTCATTTTCTCCTGCCCCATCCAAGATCAACAGGCCCCGAGGATCCCGGCCGGACACAGCACACAGCGCCCTTGTTCCCGGAGAGCCGGGATTTGGGGATTTTTCCTGATTTTTTTTTAGGGTTTTTTTGGGTTTTTTTCGTCGCCACGTTGAAAAATCAGGGATGGAAGTCACGGCACAGTGAGAGGGGTGAGAATCTGATCGAGGAGAACGTTCCCGGCACGTCTCAGGGAGGTGGAGTCGTCTCCATGAGGGCATGGAGGGAGTTTGGCAGTCCCTAAATCCCCAAATCCCATTTTTTGGGGGGTTCTCCCATTTACTGAGGTCTGCAGTGTCACCCTCCAGCCTGGATTAATCCCAAAATCCCATTTTTTGGGTGGGTTCTCCCATTAACTGGGGTCTGCTCTCCAGCCTGCATAAATCCCCAAAATCCCATTTTTTTGGGTGGGTTTTCCCATTAACTGCAGTGTCACCCTCCAGCCTGGCTAAATCCCAAAATCCCATTTTTTGGGTGGGTTCTCCCATTTACTGAGGTCTGCAGTGTCACTTTCCAGCCTGGATTAATCCCAAAATCCCATTTTTTGGGTGGGTTCTCCCATTTACTGAGGTCTGCAGTGCTGCTCTCCAGCCTGGATAAATCCCAAAATCCCATTTTTTGGGTGGGTTCTCCCATTTGCTGAGATCTGCAACGTCACTTTCCAGCCTGGATTAATCCCCAAAATCCCATTTTTCGGGTGGGTTTTCCCATTAACTGGGGTCTGCTCTCCAGCCTGCATAAATCCCCAAAATCCCATATTTTGGGTGGGTTTTCCCATTAACTGCAGTGTCAACTTCCAGCCTGGCTAAATCCCAAAATCCCATTTTTTGGGCAGGTTTTTCCACTGGTTTCTGCATGAAGGTGTCCAAAGTATCACCTTCCAACCTGGATAAATCCCAAAATCCCATATTTTGGGTGGGTTTTCCCATTAACTGGGGTCTGCTCTCCAGCCTGCATAAATCCCCAAAATCCCATTTTTTGGGTGGGTTTTCCCATTAACTGCAGTGTCAACTTCCAGCCTGGCTAAATCCCAAAATCCCATTTTTTGGGCAGGTTTTTCCAGTGGTTTCTGCATGAAGGAGTTCAAAGTATCACCTTCCAACCTGGATAAATCCCAAAATCCCATATTTTGGGTGGGTTTTCCCATTAACTGCAATGTCCCCCTCCAGCCTGGATAAATCCCAAAATCCCATTTTTTGGGTGGGTTTTCCCATTTACTGAGATCTGCAGTGTCACTTTCCAGCCTGGATTAATCCCAAAATCCCATATTTTGGGTGGGTTTTCCCATTAACTGGGGTCTGCTCTCCAGCCTGGATAAATCCCAAAATCCCATATTTCGGGTGGGTTCTCCCATTAACTGGGGTCTGCTCTCCAGCCTGCATAAATCCCCAAAATCCCATTTTTTGGGCAGGTTTTTCCACTGGTTTCTGCATGAAGGAGTCCAAAGTATCACCTTCCAACCTGGCTAAATCCCAAAATCCCATATTTTGGGTGGGTTTTCCCATTAACTGCAGTATCACCTTCCAGCCTGGATTAATCCCAAAATCCCATTTTTTGGGTGGGTTTTCCCATTAACTGAGGTCTGCAGTGTTGCTCTCCAGCCCGGATAAATCCCAAAATCCCATTTTTTGGGGCTTAGGAGTGTTGGCAGAGGGTCAGGAATGTTTTTTGGGGTCAGGAATGATTTTTGGGGGTCAGGATTGTTTATTGGGGTTGGGAATGTTGGTTGGGGTCAGAAATGTTTTTTGGGATTGGGAATACCAGTGGGGGTTGGGAATGGGTTTTGGGGTTGGGAACGTTTTTGGGATCAGGAATGTTTTTTGAGGTCAGGAATTTTTTTTGGTGTTGGGAATGGTTTTTGGAGTCAGGAATGTTGGTTTGTGTCGGGAATGTTGGTTGGGGGTCAGGAATGGTTTTTGGGGTCGGGAATGGTTTTTGGGGTCAGGAATGGTTTTGGGGGTCAGGAATGGTTTTTGGGGTCAGGAATGCCGATGGACATTGGGAATCCTGCTGGTTCCAAGCAGGAAGGAGCCGCCTTTTCCTCATCATTCCCACATTCCAGCTGCTTTTGGGGCACTTGGGATCACCCCAAATCCCCCTGGCTCCTCCCTGGCTGGATTTTGGGATGTTTGGGGCACTGGGATTTTGGATTTTGGGATGTTTGGGGCACTGGGGTGTTGGATTTTGGGATGATTGGGGCACTGGGGTGTTGGATTTTGGGATGTTTGGGGCACTGGGATGTTGGATTTTGGGATGGTCGGGGCACTGGGATGTTGGATTTTGGGATGTTTGGGGCACTGGGATGTTGGATTTGGGATGTTTGGGGCACTGGGGTGTTGGATTTTGGGATTTTTGGGGTACTATGTTGGATTTTGGGATGTTTGGGGCACTGGGGTGTTGGATTTTGGGATGATTGGGGCACTGGGGTGTTGGATTTTGGGATGTTTGGGGCACTGGGGTGTTGGATTTTGGGATTTTTGGGGTACTATGTTGGATTTTGGGATGTTTGGGGCACTGGGGTGTTGGATTTTGGGATGATTGGGGCACTGGGGTGTTGGATTTTGGGATGTTTGGGGCACTGGGGTGTTGGATTTTGGGATTTTTGGGGTACTATGTTGGATTTTGGGATGTTTGGGGCACTGGGGTGTTGGATTTTGGGATGATTGGGGCACCGGGATGTTGGATTTTGGAATGTTTGGGACACTGTGATGTCGGATTTGGGGATTTTTAGGGCACCGTGATTTTGGATTTTGGGATGGTCAGGGCACTGGGATTTTGGGATGTTTGGGGCACTGGGATGTTGGATTTCGGGATGTTTGGGGCACTGGGATTTTGGATTTCGGGGTTTTTGGGGCACTGGGATGTTCTGGGCTCACATTCCAATGCACTTTGGGATATTTGGGATGAGCCCTGCAGGGTGGGAACGCCGTGGGATCCCTGAAGGAATGTGCAGCCCCCAGGCGATCCGGGAGGCTCCGGGGGGATTTTGGGGGGGCTCAGTGCCAGGGCTCGGGGGGATTTTGGGGGGCCTCAGGGGGATTTTGGGGGGCCGTGGTGCCGGGGCTCCGGGGGGATTTTAGGGTGCCTCGGTGCCGTGGCTCGGGGGGATTTTGGGGTGCCTCAGTGCCGGGGCTCAGGGGGATTTTGGGGTGCCTCAGTGCCGGGGCTCCGGGGGGATTTTGGGGGGCTGTGGTGCCGGGGCTCGGGGGGGATTTTGGGGGGGCTCAGTGCCGGAGCTCGGGGGGATTTTGGGGTGCCGTGGTGCCGGGGCTCGGGGGGATTTTGGGGTGCCGTGGTGCCGGGGCTCAGGGGGATTTTGGGGGGCCTCAGGGGGATTTTGGGGTGCCTCAGTGCCGGGGCTGCGGGTTCCAGAGCCGCATTCCGGGGCTCACGGGGCGTTGGGGTTCGGGAGGAGCCGCTGCCGGTCCCTTCAAAGAGCCGCTTTCAAGTGCCGAGGGGAGATTTTATCACCTGGGAACGGGAACGGGAACGGCTCCCACGGCGGGGACACGCCAGGGACACGGCGGGGACACGGGGGGGACACGGTGGGGACACGGGGGGGACACGCCAGGGGACACAGCCTGGCACAGACCTCCCCAAACCCCCCTGGCCCCACACCCAGGGGCTTCCATGGGTCAGATATTTGGGTCACCACTGGTCAGGTTTGGACACCACTGGCCCGATTGGGATGACCAAGGGTGGAATCAGTGGTCTGAGGGCTCCGTGGGTTTTGGGGTGACCGAGGGTGAGCTGAGCAGATTTTGGGGTGACCAAGGATGGGGTCAGTGGGGTGAGGGCTCCGTGGGTTTTGAGACAACTGAGGGTGGTGGCCCTGCAGGTTTTGGGATAGCCAAGGCTGGGATCAGCAGATTTTGGGGTGATCAAGGATGGGATCAGCGGGGTGGGAACTCCATGGGTTTCGGGATGACCGAGGGTGGGATCAGCAGATTTTGGGATGACCAAGGCTGGGCTCAGCGGGGTGGTGGCCCTGCAGAGCTCAGGATGACCAAGGCTGGGATCAGCAGCAGCTGGGATGACACAGGATGTGCTGGCAGGGCTTTGGCAATCTGGGAGGCTCATGGGGGGCGCTGGTCCCTCCTGCCCCCCGCCCCCCACCTCCATGGGGGTGACACTGAGCTGGGGCCGAGGGCTCCCCATGTGGGTGACACAGGGTGACCCCAAAATTCAGCCTTGGGGGGGTGGGGGGATCCCCTGGGGACACCCGGGGCTGGGTCCCCCCATGGGTGGCACCAGGGGAGGGGCAGTGACTGCACACCAGGGGGACCGTGGGGGTCCCGGGGGGGCAGGGCCGGTTTTAGGGGAGGTTTGGGGGTCCCGGGGGCTGCAGGTCCTTGTGGGGCACAGGAAAGTCCGGGGGGACCAAGGGCAGGGGGTCCAGAGAGTTGGGGGGTCCCGGGGGTGGTGGGTCCAAGGGGTCTTGGAGGGTCCATGGATAGGGGGGTTCAGGGGCTCTGGGGGGGTCTCTGGGGGGTCCCTGAGGGGCTGGGGGTGTTTGCAGGACCTCGGGGGTGTCCCGGGGGTCCCATCAGAGGGGGACAGTCATGGGGTGCCCTGGGGATCCGGAGGGTCCCGAGGAGGGGTGGTCCCGGATGGTCCCGGGGTGCCCGGAGGGTCCCGGGGTGTGTCCCGGGTGATCCCGGGGGTGTGTCCCGCGGGGTCCCGGCTGGTCCCGGGGTGTGTCCCGGGGGTGGGTCCCGGTGGGTCCTGGCGTGGGACCCGTGGGTGGGTCCCGCAGGTCCCGGAGGGTCCCGGGGGTGGGTCCCGCAAGGTGTCCGGGGGGTCCCGAGGGATCCCGGGGAGTACCGGGCTGTGACCCGGGGGTCCCGCGGGTGGGTCTCGCAAGGTCCCGGGATGTGTCCCGGGGGGTGTCCGGATGGTCCCGGGGTGTGTCCCGCAGGGTATTTGGGTGGTCCCGGGGTGTGTCCGGGAGTGGGTCCCACAGGGTGCCCGGGTGGTCCCGGGTGTTCCCGGGGCTGGGTCCCGCAGGGGACCGGTGGTCCCGGGGGTATGTCCGTCCCGGTGTTCCCGGGGGTGTGTCCCGGTGGTCCCGGGTGTTCCCGGGGGTACGCCCCTCCCGGTGGTCCCGGGGCGGTCCGGCCGTGCCCTGCCCGCTCTGTCCCCGCCCCGGCCGGGCCGGTGCCGCCCATTTCCGCCGGGCGGAGCCGCCCCTCGGCCCCGCAGCGGCCCCGCCGGCAGCGCCCGCCCGGCCCGGCCCGGCCCGGCCCCGCTCGCTCCGGTGCAGCCCCGCCATGGCGGGCGGCCCGGCCGCGCTCGCCCTCGGTAGGTGCGGGGGGCTCGGGGGGCGCGGGGGGCTCGAACCGGGGGGTGCGCGCCCCCAGCCCCGCCGGACCCCCACCGGGGGGGGGCTCGGCTCCGTCCGTTGCGGGAACGCGGCGAAATTCCCCCAAAATTCCCTCAAAATTCTCCCAAAATTCCCCCAAAATTCCCCCAAATTTCCCCCGCGCGGGCGCTCCCGAAGTTCGTTCCCTGTGGGAACGGCGCCTCCGCCGCCACGCGTGAGTACGGCCGCGGTCATTCGCTTAATTAGAGCGGCTAATTAGGGCTGGGGGCTAATCGGAGTTGCGCTCCGGGATGCTCCCGGGGCAGGGAAGGCAGATCCCGGTGCTTTGTCCCGCCGGTGTTCCCCAGCCGCAGCTCCGGTGTCCCGGTGGGAAGCGGCGCTCCGGGGCTCGGCCCCGCTCCGCCGCCGTGTCCCGGTGCTGCCGGTCCGCCGAGGCTGCCCCGGCGGCTCCAGCGCCGTGCCCGTCCTGCCGTGTCCCGTTCCCGGGGCTCTCTCCGGTGCCGCTGCGCTTCCCCGCCCGTCTGAGCTGAGCGCTCCCGGTAATTCCCATTCCCGGTGGGATGCGGGGAAGGAGAGGGGGAACGGCTCCGGCTGCCGGCGGGGATCGGGGAACGGGACCGGGCGGGTCCGGTGGGAATCGGGAGCGGGGAAGGGACGCGGCGATAACGGAGAAGCGAGGCTGGGAATTAACGGGATGGAGCTGCTGGAAGCGCCGTGGGAAGGCTCGGGAGGGAGAGATTCCCGGTGATCCCGGAGAACGGCGTGGGATGGGGCTGGAAAACCGAGCGGGGCTGGGTCAGCGTGGGTTGTCCCAGTGTCCAGCCCCACGATTGTCCCAGTGTCCAGCCCCACGCCAGAGCTCCAGCCGGGATTGTCCCAGTGTCCAGCCCCACAATTGTCCCAGTGTCCAGGGGGTGTCCGGTGTCCCCACGCTGGGCACGGAGAACATCCCGAGGGCCGGAATTGGGGATGAGGGCTGGGATTTCCACCTGCCCACGGAGAGGAGCTGGCGAGGAGAACGGAGGAGATGGAATGCCCAGGGGATGGACACCCACTCAGAACTGGAATGCCAAGGGAAGGACATGCACTGATCCCATTGGGATGCCAGGGGATGGACACCCACTCAGAACTGAGATGCCAAGGGAAGGACACGCACTGATCCCATCGGGATGCCCAAGGGATGGACACCCAACTATCCCACTGGGATGCCAGGAGATGGATGCCCACCCAGAACTGGAATGCCAAGGGAAGGACATGCACTGATCCCGTCGGGATGCCAGGGGATGGATGCCCACCCAGAACCAGGATTCCCAGGGGATGGACACGCAATGATCCCAATGGGATGCCCAGGAGATGGATGCCCACCCAGAACTGGAATGCCAAGGGAAGGACATGCACTGATCCCATTGGGATGCCAGGGGATGGACACCCACTCAGAACTGAGATGCCAAGGGAAGGACACGCAGTGATCCCACCGGAATGCCAGTGGGGATGGATGCCCACTCAGAACCGGGATTCCCAGGGGATGGACACGCAATGATCCCACTGGAATGCCAGTGGGGATGGATGCCTACCCAGAACTGGAATGCCAAGGGAAGGACACGCACTGATCCCGTCGGGATGCCAGGGGATGGATGCCCACCCAGAACCAGGATTCCCAGGAGATGGACACACAGCTATCCCACCGGGATGCCAGGGGATGGATGCCCACCCAGAACTGGAATTTCCCAGGGGATGGACATGGAATGATCCCACCGGAATGCCAATGGGGATGGATGCCCACCCAGAACCGGAATGCCAGGGGATGGACACACAATGATCCCACCAAGATGCCCAGGGGATGGATGCCCACCCAGAACTGGAATTTCCCAAGACATGGACGCCAGAACCAGAACTAGACTCAGAACCGGAATGCCAAGGGGATGGACACACAGCGATCCCACCGGGATGCCCACTGGTCCCACTGGGATGCCCAGGGGATGGATGCCCACCCAGAACCGGAATGCCAGGGGATGGACACCCACTGATTCCAACAGAATTCCCAGGGGGACGGACACCCACTCAGGACTGGGATGCCCAGGGGATGGATGCCCACCCAGAACTGGAATTTTTTCCTTCAAAAAGCAAAAAACACCCTCACGATGTTCCTTAAACATTTCCTTCAAATTCCCGCGTTTTCCTTCAAACTCTTGGGGCGGTTTTGGCCACCCCAAATCCTCCCCCTGGGGTTTTTTGGGGGGTTTTTTGGGGTTTTTTGGGGTGTGGCTGACCCCCGTGTCCCCCCCAGGTGTCCTGCTGGCCGCCTGCCACGCGCTGGACAACAGCACGGCCGGCCGGAGCGGTGAGTGACCCCAAAAAATCAGATTTTGGGAGATTTTGGGAGATTTTGGGGTTTTCTGGCACCCCAACCCTCCCCTTTGTGGGGTAACGGGGCCCCAGGTGGGATCCTGCCCTCAAATTCCAAGGGGAAAAGCGGGAAGGGTTTTCCGGCCACAAAAAAAAGGGGTTTGGCCCCAAAAAAAGGGGTTCTGGTCCTAAAAAACAAGGGTTTCTGGTCTTAAAAGGAATAGCTTCTAGCCCCAAAAAGAAAGAGTTTCTGCACCCCAAAAAAGGGTTCCTGATCCCAAAAAGAAAAGGGTTTCTGGTCCCTAAAACAAAAGGTTTCTGGTCCTAAAAACTAGGGTTTCAGGCCCCAAAAGGAAGAGTTTCCTGTCCCAAAAAAGGGTTTCTGGTCCCAAAAAAAAAAGAGTTTCTTGTCCCAAAAGGAAAGGGTTTCTGGTCCCAAAAACAAAGAGTTTCTGGTCCTAAAAAGAAAGGGGTTCTGGTCTCAAAAACTAAAGGTTTCTGAGCCCAACAGTAAGAGCTTCCAGCCCCAAAAAGAAAGAGTTTCTGCACCCCAAAAAAGGGTTTCTGGTCCCAAAAAGAAAACTTTTCTAGTCCCAAAAAAAGGGTTTCCGGTCCCAAAAACAAAGTGATTCTGGTGCAAAAAAATAAAGGGTCTCTGGTCCCAAAAAAAGGGGTTTTAATCCCAAAAAATAAAGGGTTTCTGGTCCCAAAAAGAAATTCCTTTCCTTGTGGGGCCAGAAACGCTTTTGGGGTGGGAGATTTCCTTTTTGGGATGGGAAATCTCCTTTTGGGGTGGGAAATCTCCTTTTGGGATGGGAAATCTCCTTTTGGGATGGGAAATCTCCTTTTTGGGATGGGAAATCTCCTTTTTGGGGTGGGAAATCCCCTTTTGGGGTGGGAAATCTCCTTTTTGGGATGGGAAATCTCCTTTTGGGGATGGGAAATCTCCTTTTTGGGGTGGGAGTGGCTCTTCCCAGAGGGTGGTTCTTCCAGAGTTGGGGACACGGGGACATCCCAATCCCAAAAGGGGATTTAATCCCCCATTTTTGGGGCTGCCATCAATCTCAGGAGCTGGGGGTGGGTCGGAAGTGCCTCGATCCCAAACCATCCCCAGCAGGATCTTCCCTTCCGGGGGATAATTTGAACCAGGGGGGGATTGAACAGGATTTTGTGGGATTTAATGGGAAACAGGAGCGGGTTGGGCTCCCTCCTCCTCCCTTTTAAGCTCTTTAGGAAATTCCTGAGGGATTATTGAGGCAGGACCCGGCTGGGATGGATTTGGGGTGGCCCTAAAGCAGCTCTGCTCGCCCTTTGGGATGGGGCAAATCTCCTTTTTGGGGTGGGAAATCTCCTTTTTTGGGGTGGGAAATCTCCTTTTTGAATGGGAAATCTCCTTTTGGGGTTGGGGATCTCCCTTTTGGGGTGGAAAAAATTCCTTTTGGGGTGGGAAATCTCCTTTTGGGGTTGGGGCATCTCCCTTTGGGGGTGGGAAATCTTTTGGGAAGGGAAATCTCCTTTTTAGGGTGGGAAATCTTTTGGGATGGATAAAACTCCTTTTGGGAAGGGACATCTCATTTTTGGGGTGGGAAATCTCCTTTTGGGTTGGGAGATCTCCTTTTTGGGATGGGAAATCTCCTTTTGAGGTGGGAAATTTCCCTTTGGGGTGGGAAATCTCCTTTTGGGATGGGAAATCTTCTGGGATGGATAAAACTCCTTTTGGGTTGGGAGATCTCCTTTTTGCGGTGGGAAAAACTCCTTTTTGGGTTGGGAGATCTTTTTGGGATAGGAAATCTCCTTTTGGGATAGGAAATTTCCCTTTGGGGTGGGAAATCTCCTTTTGGGAAGGGAAATCTCTTTTTTGGGGTGGGAAATCTCCTTTTGGGGTGGGAAATCTCCTTTTGGGGTGGGAAATCTCCTTTTGGGATGGGAAATCTCCTTTTGGGGTGGGAAATCTCCTTTTTGGGGTGGGAAATCTCCTTTTGGGGTGGGAGGCAGCCAAGCCCCGTGTCCCTCCTGCTGCCCCTTTCCCGAGGGATCCGTGCCCATCCCGGGGGCTGTGGGGCGGGGGCCGCTCCCCGGTGGGATCCCCTTTTTTGGGGACGCCCCAAAATCGCCTTTTTCCGGCCGGTTTTTCCCGCAGCCCCGGTGGCGGCGGCCGTGCGGTCGCACTTCCACGAGTGCCCCGACTCGCACCGGCAGTTCTGCTTCCACGGCACCTGCCGCTTCCTGGTGCAGGAGGAGAAACCCGCCTGCGTGTGAGTACCCCAAAACCGGGACACCCCAAAACTGGCCCCAAAACTGGGGGGTCAGGAGAAACCCCAAAACTGGGGGGTCAAGGTGCTGGGAGACCCCAAAACTGTGGGGTCAGGAGAAACACGCCTGTGTGTGAGTACCCCACAACTGGGCCTGGGGACACCCCAAAACTGGGAGGTCAGTGCCCCAAAAATGGGGGGTCAGTGCCCCAAAAACGGGGGATCAGGAGAAACCCCAAAATGTGGGGTCAGGGTGCTGGGACACCCCAAATCCTGACCCCAAAATTGTGTCCTGGGGATCCCAAAACTGTGGGGTCACTGGGAAATCCCAAAACTGTGGGGTAGGAGGAGAAACTCAACTGCATGTGAGTACCCCAAAACTGATCCTTGGGACACCCCAAAACTGTGGGGTAAGTGCCCCAAATCCCGACCCCAAAACTGTGGGGTAAGTGCCCCAAATCCCAACCCCAAAACCGTGGGGTCAATGCCCCAAATCCTGACCCCAAAACTGTGAGGTCACTGGGGAAACCCCAAGACTGTGGGGTCAGGAGAAACCCGCCTGCGTGTGAGTGCCCCAAACCTTGGACACCCCAAAACTGTGGGGTCAGTGTCCTGGGGAATCCCAAAAGTGTGGGGTCAGTGTGCTGGGGATACCAAAACTCTGGGCTTGATGTCCTGGGGTTCCCAAAATTCAGGGTTTGGTGTCTCAGTGATCCCAAAACTCCAGCCTTGGTGTCCCCAGGTGTCACTCGGGGTTTGAGGGGACACACTGACCTGCTCTGTGTCCCTGTGTGTGTCCCCAGGTGCCACTCGGGGTACGTGGGGACACGCTGTGAGCACGCTGACCTGCTGGCCGTGGTGGCAGCCACCCAGAAGAAGCAGACCATCACGGCCCTGCTGGTGGTGGCCGTGGTGGCCTCGGCGCTGCTCGTCACCGTCTGCGTCCTGGTGCAGTGAGTGCCACCGGGGAGCTCCTGGGGACAGCCCTGACCCGTCCCCATCCCTGTCCCTAACCCTGTCCCTAACCCTGTCCCTAACCCTGTCCCCAACCCTGTCCCATCCCTGTCCCATCCCTGTCCCCATCCCTGTCCCATCCCTGTCCCCATCCCTGTCCCATCCCTGTCCCTAACCCTGTCCCTAAACCTGTCCCTAACCCTGTCCCATTCCTGTCCCCATCCCCATTCATTGTCCCCATTCCCTGTCCCCATCACTCTCCCCATCGCTGTCCCGTCCCTGTCCCCATTCCCTGTCCCATCCCTGTCCCCATTCCATGTGTCCCCATTCCCTGTCCCCATTCCCTGTGCCCATGTCCCTGTCCCCATTCCCTGTCCCCATTCCCGTCCCTGTCCCCATTCTCTGTGTCCCCATATTCCCATGTCCCTGTGCCCATGTCCCCAATGTCCCCATTCCCTGTCCCCATTCCCTGTGCCCATGTCCCTGTCCCCATGTCCCTGTCCCCAGTGTCCCCATGTCCCTGTCCCTGTCCCCAATGTCCCCAGTGTCCCAATGTCCCCATGTCCCTGTCCCCATTCTCTATCCCTGTGCCCCTGTCCCCAGTGTCCCAATGTCCCCATGTCCCTGTCCCTGTCCCCAATGTCCCCAATGTCCCAATGTCCCCAGTGTCCCCAATGTCCCCATGTCCTGTCCCCAGCTGCTGCCGCCTGCGGAAGCGCTGTCCCTGTCCGTGTCCGTGTCCCGGTTGGTGCCGCGATCCCGGAGCCGGCCCCGAGAAACCGGGGGGGCTGCTCAAGGGGGGAGCGTCCTGCTGCCACAGTGACACAGGTGAGGGACACCTGGGGACACCTGGGGACATCCATGGGACACCTGGGGACACCTGGGGGTGACAGGGACACCTGGGGACATCCATGGGACACCTGGGGATACCAGGGACAGGTGAAGGGACACAGGGGACATCTGGGACACCTGGGAAAGGTGAGGGGACCCGTGGGATGGATGAGGAACACCTGGGGACACCTGGGACAGGTGAGGGACACTGGGGGACACAGGGGACATCTGGGGACACCTGGGACAGGTGAGGGGACATCTGGGAGAGGTGAGGGACACAGGGGACACCTGAGACAGGTGGGGGGACACAGGGGACAGGTGTGGGGACACAGGGGACACCTGGGAAAGGTGAGGGGACACAGGGGACGGGGGGGAACACCGGAGGACCCAGGGAATGGGGGGGGACACCTGGGGGCAGGTGAGGGACACCGGGGGACACAGGGCACACCTGGGGACACCTGGGACAGGTGGGGGGACACACGGGACAGGTGAGGGGACACCAGGGGACACAGGGGACACCTGGGGACACAGGGGATGGGGGGGACACCTGGGACAGGTGGGGGACACCTGGGGCAGGTGACACCCCAGGCTGTAACCACTGCCATTCCCGTCCCCACAGGTGTGTGACAGACCCGGGACCACCTGGGGACACCTGGGGACACCTGGGGACCCCCCAGGACCGTCCCCTCCCCCCTCCCGTGCTCTGGATCCTTTTTTTGGGGCGTTTCCCCCCTGCCCGGCCTTTTCCCGGGTTTCCCCTCGACTTTTGGGTCGTTTTCCCGGGATTGTTCAACCCCAAATCTTTGGGATTTGAACCCAAACCCCCGCCAGGATGGGGATTTATTTTTCTACAAAAACCCCCGGCTCATTTTTGGGGTCAAATCCCGGCTTTTTGTGAATAATAAATGAATTTAAATCCCAGGAAACCTCCTCGGGCTGGAGGCACAGCCTCCATCTCCCCTTAGTAACCAACCCGGAGCTTTTCCCTCTGTTTTGGGGTTGTTTTTGGGGTTGTTTTGGGGTTTTTTGGTTTTGGTTTTTTTTTTTAAAAGTCATGGTTACTCTCATGTCTTCTGTATATGTTGCACTGAAAGTTAATATTTAATGTTTTAATTTATTTTGCCTGGTTTAAATTAATTTTGATTCCTATAAAGATGTTCTCGTCATCCCCTGGTTTGTGTTTTTTAATTTTTTCCCCGTCCTGAAAACCTGGATTAGTTGTTTAAGTGAGGTAAAAACACTTTTTTTTTTTCTTTTTTTTCAGGAAATTCATGGTTTGGGGGTTTTTTGGGGGGATATTTGGGAAGGAGATGCTGAATCCCACAGTGGGAATGGGGGGAATATTCCCAGGGAAGGCTGAGCCCCAAATTCCCAAATTTTCATCCCAAATTTTCCATCCCTTGATGCCCCAATGATGAACTCAGCCCTGTTTTCCCATTATTTCATCCCAAATTTTCAATCCCTGATGCCCAATTATTATCTCAATCCCATTTTCCCATGATTTCATCCCAAATTTTGAAACCAAATGTCCCAGTAATAAACTCAGCCCCATTTTCCCGTTATTTTATCCCAAATTTTGAAGCCCAGTTTTGGGCTCAGCCCCATTTTCCCATGATTTCGTCCCAAATTTTCAATCCTGATGTTCATATTTCAAGTTTTGGGCTCAGCCCACCCCATTTGGGGGCAGGTTTGGGGCAATTCCCGGCAGTTTTGGGGTGGTCCTGGAGGTTTTGGGACAATTCCTCTCAGTTTTGGGATTGTCCTGGAGATGTGGGGACATTTTTTTTTTTTTTTTGTGGTTTTGAGGCAATTCTCAGCAGTTTTGGGACAATTCTCAGCAGTTTTGGGGGATTCTCAGTGGGTTTGGGGCAATTTCTGGCAATTTTGGGGCGATTCTCAGCAGTTTTGGGACAATTCCCGGCAGTTTTGGGGGATTCTCAGTGTGTTTGGGACAATTCCCGGCAGGTTTGGGACAATTTCCCTCAGGTTTGGGACGGGTTTTGGGACGGGTTTTGGGACAGGTTTTGGGGCGGTTCCCCTCAGGTTTTGGGGCAGGTTTTGGGAGGATTCTCCTCAGGTTTGGGGCGGGTTTTGGGGCGGTTCCCCTCAGATTTGGGGCGGGTTTTGGGGCGGATCCCCTCAGGTTTTTGGGGCGGGTCCCCTCAGATTTGGGGCGGGTTTTGGGGCGGTTCGGAGCAGCTTTAGGGGCGGGTTTGGGGCGGTTCTGGGCGGGTTTGGGGCGGGTTTTAGGGCAAGATTAGGGCGGATCAGGGCGGGTTTAAAGGTGGGATCAGGGCGGTTCTGGGCGGGTTTGAGGCGGGTTTAGGGCGGGATTAGGGCAGTTCTGGGCGGGTTTAGGGCGGTTTAGGGTAGGTTTAGGGCGGGTTTAAGGAGGTTTAGGGCGGGTTTAAAGCGGTTTTAGGGCGGGTTTAGGGCAAATTAGGGCGGGTGTAGGGCGGGTTTTAGGGCGGGTGTAGGGCGGGTTTAAGGCGGGTTTAGAGCGGTTCTGGGCGGGTTTAAAGCGGGTTTAGGGCGGTTCGGGTCAGGTTTAAAGCGGGTTTAGGGCGGGTTTAAGGCAGTTCTGGGCGGGTTTAGGGCGATTCTAGGCGGGTTTAAGGCGGGTTTAAAGCGGGTTTAGGGCGGTTCTGGGCGGGTTTGAAGTGTTTTTAGGGCAGGTTTAGGGCGGGTTTAGGGCCGTTCTGGGCGGGTTTAAAGCGGGTTTAGGGCGATTCTGGGCGGGTTTAGGGCAGTTCTGGGCGTGTTTAAAGCGCGTTTAGGGCGGGTTTAAAGCGGTTTTAGGGCGGTTCTGGGCGGGTTTAGGGCGGGATTAGGGCGGTTGCGGGCGGGTTTAAAGCGGTTTTAGGGCAGGTTTAGGGCGGGTTTAGGGCGGTTCTGGGCGGGTATAAGGCGGTTCTGGACGGGGGGATTAGGGCGGATTTAAGGCGGGTTTAGGGCGGTTCTGGGCGGGTTTAGGGCGGTTCTAGGCAGGTTTAAAGCGGGTTTAGGGCGTGTTTAAAGCGGTTTTAGGGCGGGTTTCGGTGGCCATGGCGGAGGCGGCGCAGGGCCGGGTGCAGGCCGCGGTGGAGAGCGCCGTGCAGGGCCTGGAGCGGGAACAGATCCGCGCCATGCAGGTACCGGGACAGCGGGGACACCGGGGGGACAGCGGGGGGACAGCGGGGGGACACCGGGGACACCGGGGGGGACACGCCGGGAGGGTCCGGGCCGGCCCGGGGCTGCTGCTGTACCCCCCCCACACACACACACAACACACGTGGGTGCCCCGGGCAGCACCGGGACCCCCCCAAATCACCCTGAAATCCCCCCAAATTACCCTGAAATCCCCCCAAATTCATTGTGACCGCCATATACATCTCCTGAGACCCCCCCTCAAATCACTGCAATCCCCCCAAATTCATTGTGACCCCCATATACACCTCCCGAGACCCCCCTCAAATTCATTGTGACCTCTACATACACCTCCCGAGACCCACCCTCAAATTCACTGAAATCCCCCCAAATTCATTGGGACCCCCATATACACCTCCCGAGACCCACCCTCAAATTCACTGAGACCCCCCCAAATCACTGAAATACCCCCAAATTCATTGTGACCTCCCTATACACCTCCTGAGACCCACCCTCAAATTCACTGAGACCCCCCCCAAAATCACTGCAATCCCCCTAAATTAATTGTGACCCCCATATACACCTCCCGAGACCCCCCCAAAATCACTGAGACCCCCCCAAATTCAATACACACCCTGAGACCCCCCCGAATTCAGAGACCCCCCCCAAATTCATTGTGGCTCCCCCATATACACACTGAGACCCCCCCAAATCACTGAGACCCCCCCCCAAATTCATTGTGACCGCCCTATACACCTCCTGAGACTCCCCCCAAAATCACTGAGATCCCCCCCAAATTCAATACACACCCTGAGACCCCCCCGTACACACGCTGAGACTCCCCAGATCACTGAGACCTCTCCCATACACACCCTGAGACCCCCAAAATTCATTGTGACCCCCCCATACACACCGAGACCCCTCTCAAATCACTGAGACCCCCCCATACACACCCTGACACCCCCTAAATCACTGAGACCCCCCCAAATTCCATTCTCTGTGCCCCCCAACACAGCCTGTGCCCCCCAAGTGCATCTCCTGTGCCCCCCCAGTTTGTCCCCTGTGCCCCCCATGCTCGGGCACACCTGGCTGCTGCCCCCAAGGGGGCTGGGACCCCCAAACTGACCCACTGACCCCTTGTGACCCCCCTTCCCTCCATGGCCCTGGGGGTGACCCTTCTGCACCGTGTCCCCGGAGTGTCCCCACTGTCCCCTTCACCTGGGAGTGTCCCCGGAGTGTCCCCACTGTCCCCTCTCACATCAGAGTGTCCCCAGAGTGTCCCCACTGTCCCCTTTCATCTGGGAGTGTCCCCCACTGTCCCCCCTCACCTGGGAGTGTCCCCCACTGTCCCCCCTCACATGAGAGTGTCCCCCAGAGTGTCCCCACTGTCCCCTCTCACCTGGGAGTGTCCCTAGAGTGTCCCCACTGTCCCCTTTCACCTGGGAGTGTCCCCACTGTCCCCTTCACCTGGGAGTGTCCCCCACTGTCCCCCCTCACCTGGGAGTGTCCCCCACTGTCCCCTGTCACATGAGAGTGTCCCCAGAGTGTCCCCACTGTCCCCTTCACCTGGGAGTGTCCCCCACTGTCCCCCCTCACCTGGGAGTGTCCCTAGAGTGTCCCCACTGTCCCCTTCATCTGGGAGTGTCCCCAGAGTGTCCCCTTTATCTGGGAGTGTCCCCCACTGTCCCCTTCACCTGGGAGTGTCCCCACTGTCCCCTCTCACATCAGAGTGTCCCCAGAGTGTCCCCCACTGACCCCTCTGCTGTCCCCAGGGTGTCCCTCTGACCCCTGCTGTCCCCAGGGTGTCCCCAGGGTGTCCCCGTTTCCCCGTTAACCCCTGGTGCCCCGTGTCCCCAGGGCGCCATGTTCCGCTGCAGCGCGCGCTGCTGCGAGGACGCAGCGGCCTCCATGCAGGAGGTGCAGCGCTGCATCGAGCGCTGCCACGCGCCCCTGACCCGCGCCCAGGCCATCGTCACCGCCGAGCTGGAGCAGTTCCAGGTGAGCACGGGGGTACGGGACCCCTGGGACCCCTGGGGACAGCGCCGGGACCCACCCTGGGACCCCTGGGCACAGCACTGAGACCCCTGGGCAGAGCACTGGGACCCTCTGGGACCCCTGGGGACAGCACTGGGACCCCCTGGGACAGCACTGGGACCTCTGGGCACAGCACTGGGACCCCTGGGACTCCCTGAGACAGCACTGAGACCCACCCTGGGACCCCTGAGACAGCACTGGGACCCCCTGGGACAGCACTGGGACCTCTGGGCACAGCACTGGGACCCCTGGGACTCCCTGAGACAGCACTGAGACCCACCCTGGGACCCCTGGGACAGCACTGGGACCCCCTGGGACAGCACTGGGACCCCTGGGCACAGCACTGGGACCCCTGGGACTCCCTGAGACAGCACTGGGACCCACCCTGGGACCCCTGGGGACAGCACCGGGACCCACCCTGGGACCCCTGAGACAGCACTGGGACCCTCTGGGACGCCCTGGGGACCTCTGGGCACAGCACTGGGACCCCTGGGGACAGCACTGGGACCCCTGAGACAGCACTGGGACCCCTGGGGACAGCACTGGGACCCTCTGGGACCCCTGGGACAGCGCCAGGACCCACCCTGGGACCCCTGAGACAGCACTGGGACCCTTTGGGACCCCTGGGCACAGCACTGGGACCCCTGGGGACAGCACTGGGACCCTGGGCAGGACATGAGCCCCACCCCCAGTCCCTCCCAGTGTCCCCCAGTCCCCCCAGCCCCGCTGACCGCTGCCCCCAGGACCGGCTGAGCCGCTGCTCGCTGCAGTGCTCGGACCAGGCCAAGGACGCGCTGGAGGCCGGGGGCTCGGAGCCGCGCGTGCGGGGCCAGCTGGACGCCTGCCTGGCCACCTGCGGGGAGCAGCACCTGCGCCTCGTGCCCAGCATGGCCAAGAAGATGCGGGACGGGCTGGCCAGCATCCAGCAGTGACACCGGGGACACCCCCGGGGACACCCCGGGGACCGCCCCAAGAGATCATTAAAGGCCAGGGCAGCTCCCACCGACCGCGGGCGTGCTGGGGGTGATGGGGGTGATGGGGGAACTGGGGGTGATGGGGGAGTTGGGGGAACTGGGGGTGATTGGGGCACTGGGGGGCACTGGGGGTGATGGGGGAACTGGGGGTGATTGGGGGGGACTGGGGGTGATGGGAGTGATTGGGGAACTGGGGAGCACTGGGGGTGATGGGGGAGCTGGGGGAACTGGGGGTGATGGGGGGCACTGGGAGGAACTGGGGGTGGTGGGGGAACTGGGGGTGATTGGGTGGTATTGGGGGACCTGGGGGGGACTGGGGGTGATGGGGGCACTGGGGGTGATAGGGGAACTGGGAGAACTGGGGGGCACTGGGGGTGATTGGGGCACTGGGGGGGACTGGAGGAACTGGGGGTACTGGGAGAACTGGGGGGGAATGGAGGTGATTGGGGAACTGGGGGGCACTGGGGGTGATGAGGGAACTGGGGGTGATTGGGGGTGATTGGGGAACTGGCGGGGACTGAAGGTGATTGGGGAACTGGGAGGCACTGAGGGCATGGGGGTTGATGGGGGGCACTGGGAGAACTGGGGGGCACTGGGGGTGATGGGGGGCTGTGAGGGGGTGACAGGCTGGGTGCTGAGGGAACACTACAGGTAAAGGGGCATTGGGGGATGATGCTCAGGCACAGTGGGGTGTGCAGGTGTGTGCAGGTGTGGGGTGTGCAGGTGTGCGCGTGGTCCCACACTGGCCTCAGGTGACCCTGGTGCTACGCACACCTCAAACACACACAGGGACACACTCAAACCCAGGTGTGTGCACACCTGGGCAGCTGGACACACAGAGACGGGGACACATGCACTCACATGTGCACACATGGGCACACACAGACATGGGCACGGGTGGACACACACACACACACGGCTGTGCAGGTGTAGCACACAGGCACACAGGTGTGCACTCACACACGTGTACACACGTGTGCACACATGTACACTCACACACATGTACACTCACACACGTGTACACACATGTACACACATGTACACTCACACACGTGTGCACACGCGCCCCGCCGCGCCGCACACGATGGCGGCCATACCGCCGTACCTCCCCGTGTAGCCGCGCACTCCCCTCACCGCCCCCCGCTGCCGCCCCGCTGCCTTGCCCCGGCCGCGCCGCTACTCGGGTGAGTGCGGGAGCGCGCCGCGCGCCGCCATTGGCTGGCGCGGGGAGACGCACGGCGCGCTGACGTCAGAGCGCGGCAGGGACGGCCGGGGGCTGCGGGCGCCATGAGCAAAGCGCACCCGCCCGAGCTGAAAAAGTGGGTCTGGGGGCGAGGGGGGCAGGGCGGAGGGAAGCGGGACCGCCGCTGGCCGGTGCTCCGGTGTAACGGCGGCGGGGGACGCGCGGTTCGTGGGGGGATAATGGTGGGGGGGCTCCTGCCCCGCCGGTGCTCACCCGCTGCCGTCTCCTTGCAGGTTCATGGACAAGAAGCTGTCGTGTGAGTTCTGGAGCTGATCTCGTCCTGATCCCCTCACGGTGCCCGGGGACTCCATCCCGCCCCGATCCCCCTCACGGTGCCCGGGGACTCCATCCCGCCCCGATCCCCCTCAGGGTGCCCCGGGACCCCCGCCCCCATTCCCATCAGGGTTCCCCGGGACCCCCGCCCCGATCCCCTCACGGTGTCCCGGGACCCCCGCCCCGATCCCCTCACGGTGCCCCGGGACCCCCGATCCCCTTCACGCCCCCCAACAACGCCCGGTTTTGGGGACCCTCCACGGCCCCTCTGTGGGGGACTCCTGAGCCCCCCGCCCGGTTTTTGGGGACCCTCTCCCACCCCTCACAGAGCACAGATAGGAGGGCCCAGCTGCTGATTTCCGACCTTACAGCGCATTAATTAAAATTCTAATTCATTCATTAATAACTCATTAATTTAACTATAACACAAGTTGAAAATGCGCTCTGTTCCCCTTATCCCATTAACGGATTGTGCTCAATCATTCCCATTCCCCCCCGGGGGTCCCGCTGGTTGGGAGCTGCAGGTTTGGGGTGCCCGCCCTAAGGGAGCTGCAGGTCTGGGGTGCACGGCCCCGTTTCGGGGTGCCCACTGGTTGGGATCTGCAGGTCTGGGGTGCACAGCCCCGTTTCGGGGTGCCCGCCCTAAGGGAGCTGCAGGTTTGGGGTGCACAGCCCCGTTTTGGGGTGCCCGCCCTAAGGGAGCTGCAGGTTTGGGGTGCACGGCCCCGTTTTGGGGTGCCCGCCCTAAGGGAGCTGCAGGTCTGGGGTGCACGGCCCCGTTTCGGGGTGCCCCCCTAAGGCCCGGCTCCCCGCAGTGAAGCTGAACGGCGGGCGGCACGTGCAGGGCATCCTGCGCGGCTTCGACCCCTTCATGAACCTCGTCATCGACGAGTGCGTGGAGATGGCGGCGGGCGGGCAGCAGAACAACATCGGCATGGTGGTGAGGCACTGGGAGCACTGGGAGCACTGGGAGCAGGGTGGTGAGGGCACTGGGAGTACTGGGACAGGGTGTTGAGGGCACTGGGAGTACTGGGACTGGGTGATGAGGCACTGGGAGTACTGGGAGTGGGGTGGTTAGAGCACTGGGAGTACTGGGAACAGGGTGGTGAGGGCACTGGGAGCACTGGGAGCAGGGTGGTCAGGGTAATGGGAACACTGGGAGCAGGGTGGTGAGGGCACTGGGAACACTGGGAACAGGGTGGTGAGGCACTGGGAACACTGGGAGCACTGGGAGCACGGAGTGGGGTGGTGAAAGCACTGGGAGTACTGGGAGCAGGGTGGTGAGGGCACTGGGCATACTGGGAGTACTGGGAGCAGGGTGGTGAGGCACTGGGAATACTGGGAGCACTGGGAATGGGGTGGTGAGAGCACTGGGAGTGGGGTGGTGAGAGCACTGGGAGTACTGGGACAGGGTGGTGAGGCACTGGGAATACTGGGAGTACTGGGAGTACTGGGAGCAGGGTGGTAAGGGCACTGGGAGCACTGGGAGGTCTTTCCCACTCTCAAGGATTCTGGTATTCTGTGATCCTTGAGGATTTCGGGTTAAAATCAGTCCATTTTGGTTCTTGTGAGGGAATTCCAGCCAGATTTTCAAGGATTTTTGGGGAAACAAAACTGGAAGGAAGGAACCCTTAGATCGGAGGTAACAGCTCTCACCTTGCCCCTTCCAGGTGATCCGAGGGAACAGCATCATCATGCTGGAAGCTTTGGAGCGAGTATAAACCCCTGGAAAACCCCAAGTCCTCACCCACTGCTTCCGTTCCCTCGTCCAAGATGCATCCCACTAGTGTACAATTGTTTTGGTTTTGTTATTAAATCAATTTTGTAATGGTTGACCTAAATCAAGCCTTTGTCGCACCAGTTTTTGGCAGCTCGGTGGTAATTCTGTTCCCAATCCTGGGAAAACTTTTATTTATGGAAGTGGGTGTTCAATTTATACTATTTCTGGTGGTTTTTTTTACTTAAAACACACTCGGGTCATTAAATTCTTTATTAACTTTGTACCTGAACACAGCCATGGATGTTGGTGGTTCTCCCTCTTTCCCACCCTGAGGAATAATTCCTTGGCAGACCCTTGGGAAAAGTTGGGGCAGCTGGAGGGCACTTTGGGGGTCAACATGGCACTTTTAATGAATTCCCTAACCTCAGACAGGGCTAAATCAAGGAAAACTGAGGAAAACTCGGATTTGTGTGAGGAAAACGTCCCAGCTTGGGAACGCTTCACTGCTCCTGCTCCCTCCAGAGCTGGCCAAACAGCTTCCAGGTGGCACCAGGGGACGTCAGGATGAGATATTGGGAAGAATTTTGTCATGGAAGGAGGGGTTGTCCAGCCCAGGTTGTGGCAGAGTCACCATCCCTGGAAGTGTCCAAACAACACATGGACACGGCATTTGAGGACGTCGTTAATGGTGAACATGGTTGGGCTGATGGTTGGACTTGAAGTTCTTGATGACCTTGAGGGTCTTGATGATCTTGAAGGTCTTGATGGCCTTGAAGTTCTTGAAGCTTATCCAACCTTTAGGATCCCATGATCCTATGAAACACCTCCTTGGAGGGGCAAAGCACAGAGTTCACTGATGTTAATTACGACATCTTGAAAATCTTCACGGTCTTGAAGATCTTGATGATTTTGAAGGTCTTGAAAATCTTCCAACTAAGGATCCCATGATCCTATGAAAGACTTCCTTGGAGGGGCAAAGTATGGAGTTCATTAGAGTTTATTACAGCATCTTGATGGTCTTGGAGATCTTCTATCTTAAGGATCCCATGATCCTACAAAACACCTCCTTGGAGGGGTGAAGTATGGAGTTCATTAGAGTTAACTACGGCATCTTAAAGCTCTTCCAACCTAAAGGATCCCATGAAACACCTCTTTGGAGGGGCAAAGTATGGAGTTCATCAGAGTTATTCAGGGCATCTTGATGGTCTTGATGTTTTTGGAAGATTTTGCAGGTCACGATGATCTTGAAGACATTCCAACTGTAAGGATCCAATGATCCTACGAAACACCTCCTTGGAGGGCGAAGCACAGAGTTCATTAGCGTTAATTAAGCCGTGGGGGTCGTGTCAGAGCTCCGTTTTGAGCTTCTCGTGGAGGTCCTCCTGGTCGACGCTGGCGCTGTGGCCGTGCCAGCGGTGGAAGGCGAGCAGGGCGGCGTTGCGGGCGGCGATGGCGCTCATCTCCATGGCGCTGGCGGCGCGCTCCAGCCCGTTCAGGTAGTAGAGCTGCTCGTGCAGGACGATGGGAGGAAGCTTTTCGGGAGCGCTGTACTGGGGATACGCCAGCCACGGCTTCACCTTCACCGAGTCGTACGAGGAGAAGAGCAAACCGAGCTGCTCCTTGGTGAGCTCTTCATTGGAGAACACCTTCCAGACGGCCGACGGCAACGGCAGCTTCCCGCCCGTGCCCGCGTCCCCAACGGGGGACACCACACCCAGGCTGTTGATGAACAGTTTGGGGTTGTCCGTGGTGAAAATGGCCCCAAAGTGGAAAGCCTGGGGGTCACGGTAGCCAAAGAAGGAGGTGTTCAAGCGCCCGTGCACCAAGGTGGTGACGGTCTGGTGGTAGGGATTCCGGAATTCCGGGATGGGAGGGTCGAAGTTCCGGAAGGTGATGTCGGCCATCTTGCGGCCAAGCGGAGCTGCGATGACGACGATGTCGTAGGTGTCCCCCGTCAGCCCCGAGGACGTGTTGTAGGTGACCTCGTAGAGCTTCACCGGGTCCCCTGTGGAGAACAACTCCTTTATCCTGGCCCATGCTGGGAGGGAATCTGACTGTCCCTGCCATTTCAAAATGCCGCCACATTTGGATTTATCAGTTTGTACCACTGTGTTTTGAGCTCTGTTTGCATGGAATCGTGCAATGGGGTGGATTGGAAGGGATCCTAAAGCCCATCCAGTTCCATGGCAGGGACACCTTCCTCTATCCCAGCTTGCCCCAAGCTCCATCCAGCTTGGCCTTGGACATTTCCAGAGATCCAGGGGCAGCCACAGCTCCTCTGGGAATTCCATCCCAGCTCCTCTCCACCCTCCCAGGGAGGAATTTTCATTTTGAAGCCCCAAGGGGCCAAGGTCACTCTCCAGTGTCACCATCCCCACCCCTCTGAAGGGAATTCCAACCCCACTCACCACCACGCTTGGATCTGGTTTTTGGCTCTATGGACACGACTGTTCCTGGGATAACCTCGGCCTTGGAGGAGTAGATGAGCCCAGAGCACACGAGTTTGTTCCCCCCTTTCACAGACCAAAGGCCCGACTGCACCCCGGCCAGGGACACAGCACCTGCAAGGAAACAACCACTGTCAGAGCAGGGAAACTCTGGAAAAACAGGTAGACAAACATCCCTTTGGGACACAGAGCTTGGAGCCCAGGGAGCAGGAACCCAACACCCAAATGTCAGTGTTTCCTTTCTCAGAGTTTGTCCGTTTGTGGACTCAAATGACTTTCCCCATTGATGGTAGATTCAAAAGAACTGAGGCCAAAGATGTGGCAAGCTTCAGCCCTTTATTATCCTTTACAGTAAACTTCCAAACCTTTCCCCATTGATGGTGGACTCAAATGACTGACACCAAAGATGGTGGCATCAGCCCTTTATTATCCTTTACAGTAAACTTTTGTATCTTTTCTCTGTAATGGGGCAGCACCATGCAACACTGACTCCTTCTCTCCTTCTCCCCTTCTCTCTTCTTCCTCTTTCCTCCTCTTTCTCAGGACCACCACTCTTTTAAAACACACATCCTTACTGGACAGAGCCACGACCTATCAAGGGCAAGGCTGCTTCCACTCTTTGGTAATTAGTAGAGCTGCAACTCATCAGGGACAAGGTTGCCCACAGAACCATCTCTATTCTCTTCCAATCCATTCTCCCACACCCAGGACGGGAGGCTACCTCCAAACACTCACCTACAAAGCCATTGATGGTGACCCCTTGGCCGTAATTCACCCTCATGGCCGGACAAACCACCTGGTTGATGAATTTCTGGGAGAATCCTGCTTTCTGCATGGCCTCGTCGATGCTCTGGTTGAGCAGCCGCGCGAAGTCGTCGCCTCCCAGGGCGTGGAGCAGGCGCTCGTTGCTGCTGAAGGCGTAGTCGTGCATCTGGTACCGGTAGATCCTTTCATTGCACACAAGAAATGGTCTCTGTTAATGAGCTCTGTGGCCCTGGCAGCTGCGGGGGATCTCGTGGGGTGGCTTTGTGGGAGCTGCAGGACAAGGGCCTGGAGGCACAGGACAAAGAGGGCAGGTTTAGGTTCCATATTGGGCATTTTTATCAGGGTGGAGAGGCCCTGGCACAGTTTCCCTGAGAAGCTGTGGCTGCCCCATCCCTGAAGTGTCCAAGGCCAAGCTGTGGAGCTTGGAGCCACCTGGGGCAGTGGAAGGTGTCCCATGGAATGTGGTGTTTTTAAGGTCCTCTCCCAGTTTTTCCCCCTCAGGACCCCATCCCACCTCATGAACTTGTCCAGGATGTCCTCCACCCACATGGACATGCGCAGGGGGTTGAGGCCGTAGTGCCAGAGCAGCTTGAGGAGGTTGATGAAGGACCAGCTGCTCTCCTCAAACACGAACTCCTCCCCGTTGTACACGCCCGCGAGGCTGCCCTGGGGTGAGGCGACCGAGAGGCCTTTAGGAGAAGGACAGAAAAAGGGAATTTAGGGAAAAGTAGAGCTGTTCCACCTTAATTTGAACTTCCTGAGGGAACCTGGCTTTGTGCTGCTAAGGTGAGTGACTGAAGATTGGAGTTCCCAAAGCGTGGAAAGGGGAATTAGCCCTTGTTCACGGGCCAGGGAGTGATTAGAGGTGATCTTTGGATCTTTATGATGCCGTAACTGGGTCACCTTGGGGAGGGGTGAGACCATTCCTGTTGCAATGTGGGTTTCCTTTGCCTGGAGTGGGGCTGGGGTACCACAGGGGGCATGGGGAGGTGATGGGGGCAGTTTGGGAAGGAAAGTGGCCTGTGGGGAGGGATATTGGAGAAAGGTGGTTACTAGGGAAGTGTTTGGGGGGATATTGGGAAAAGAAGAGGAACTGTTGGGGAAGGATATGGGGGAATATTGGGAAAAGAAGGGCAGGCTATTGGGGAAGGAGATGGGCTGCTACTGGGGAAGGATATGAGGGCTACCAAGCCTTGTTCTTTCGAGGGAAGTTCCTCAGCAGATTGGGACCAAGAGCACCCCAGAGGAATAATTATGGAGCTGGGAAACACCAGGGTGGGGGGTACATGCTCACCCAGCTCCTTGACAAAATGCTTCATGTGCAGGTTGAGGGGGTGGATCACGGACCCCCCTGCCTCGTAGGCAGAACCCTCCACGTCCAGCGTGTCCAGCCGGCCGCCCACCGCTGCCTTCTCCAGCACGTGCAGCTGCACACCACGGCCGAACTTCTGCCGCAGGAAATACGCGGCGGCCGAGCCACCGATCCCGCCGCCCACCACGGCTGGGAGAAGGGGCTCGGTCACCTTCACACCCCTACGAGCCACCACTTCACACACCCCCCTCAAACATCCCTCACGGACCCCCTGCACCACAGATCCCCTCAAGGGAATCCCTCACAGATCCCTCATGGACCCTCTGTAGGACAGATCCCCTCAATGGAGCCCCTCACAGATCCCTCATGGAGCCCCCTCACCCCAATTCCCTCAAGGGAACCCCTCACAGATCCCTCATGGATCCCTCATCCCAATCCCCTCAAGGGAACTCCTCACAAATCCCTCACAGACCCCTCACCCCGATCTCCTCAAGGGAACCCCTCACAGATCCCTCATGGACCCTCTGCAGGACAGATCCCCTCAATGGAATCCCTCACAGATCCCTCACAGACCCCCCTCACCCCAATTCCCTCAAGGGAACCCCTCATAGATCCCTCACAGATCCCCTCAGTGGAACCCCCCTCATATCCCCTGACCCTCAAAGATCCCCTCACAGCCCCCCAACCTTCAGGAGGTCCCCCCATTGCACCTTCCTCACAGATCCCCTCAAAGGATCCTCCACACACCCCCCTGACCCTCACAGATCCCTCATGGCTCCCCCCACCTCAGATCCCTCAAGGGACATCCCCCCATTGCTCCCTGTCCCATATAGATCCCCTGACGGGCCTCCCATGTCACATCCCCTCAGTGGCCCTTAAAGGATCCTCTCCTCACCCCTTCCTCAAGGATCCCCTTGAGGAATCAAGGCCTGGGCCTCACCGATCCCCTCATTCCTTCACGGGACACCCCTGAGGCGGCTGCCCTGCACAGCTCCCCCCGCAGATTCCCCGTCCCTCCCACAGCCGCCTCCCCTGAGCCCATCGGGCGGCCATGAGGCGCTGCGTTCGCACCGATCCTGGAGGGGCCATGGCGGAGGCTGAGGGCGGGCGGGCAGAGCGCGGCCAGCAGCGGCAGGAGCCGGCAGAGGCCCGGCATGGCGGCGGAGAAGGGCAGAGGGCGATGGGCGGGCCGGGAGCGCGGCCGGGGCGCTGCGGGCGGCGGCACCATGAGGGACACGGAGAGCCGCCATTCACCAGCCGCGCCGCTGGTGTAGTGGTATCATGCAAGATTCCCATTCTTGCGACCCGGGTTCGATTCCCGGGCGGCGCATAAGAATTTTTACATCACTTAAAATCTTTTTTATCGTCACTTAGAATTTTTTCATTGATTCCAAAGTACTTCTTTTATATCCTGTGAAAAATGCGTATTTTATGATTGTTTTTTCAATGTTACAATGACTATTATGTGTGTGATGTTACAAAGTTATGCTGTATCAATTCTCTTAAGTAGCGTGTTAAATACAGTTTTAGCTTACAACATAATGTTAAAATAGAAATTCTGTGTTAAAATAGAAACTCTGCGATATAGGATTTCTTACAAGCTCAAGCAGGAAGATGAGATAATCAAGAAACTCTTCGCACAGAGATGTCAGCAAACGGAGCCCATAAAATGTTACAGAAAAGACAAACATTCTTCCACCCTCTCTCCGTCTTTTTGGAACCACCAAGATTAAGGAGAAGAAGTTGACACAAACCAGAAAAGTTCTTAATTTGCAAGGAATTTATATATTCCTGAGATATATGAATATGCAACAGGTTATTGCTTTTAAGGTTATTCCTTTGTTCACAAGTGATGCTTTTTGTGACTTAGTGTCCGAGAGCATCCGGACGTCCGTAATTCTTTGCTTTTTATTGTCTTGTAATTGCCCTAACTCTAAATTTGTGTCAACTTCTTCTCCTTAATCTTGGTTGTCTTAAAAAGACAGAGAGAAGGTGGAAGAATGTTTGTCTTTTCTGATAAGTAGTCAGTAACTTCTTATGGGCTCCCTTTGCTGCCATCTCTGTGTGAAGAGTTTCTTGATTATCTGATCTTCCTGCTTGAGCTTGTAACAAATCCTACATCGCAGAGTTTCTATTTTAACATTATGTTGTAACCTAAAACTACATTTAACACGCTACTAAAAAGAATCAATACAGCATAACTTTCTAACATCACACACATAATATTCCTTGTAATATTGAAAAGCCAATCATACAATACGCATTCTTCACAATTTTTTAAGCCATTTCTTTTCAACCCCTTCATTCCTCACCCCTTTATTTCGAACGTTTTTAATTTTAAATCCATTTTCAATCTTTAAATCAATTTTCAATCTCCTTCCCCCCTCAGGGCCGCGCACGCGCGGAGCGTTCCCGCGCCGTTCCCGCGCTCTCCCCGCGCACGCGCGTTCCCGCCTCCCCCTCGTCCCCTCAGCCCTCAGCCCGCCCGCCGCCATCTTGCGAGGAGCCGCCGCGGGACCGTCCGGCGGCGGGGCCGGCGCCGCTCGGGCTGCCCGGGCTGCCCAGGGCTCACGGGGCCGCCCCGGCGGGCGGGAAGAGCCGGGGCTGGGCGGCGGCGGAGCCATGGAGGATGAAATGCCCAAGACCCTGTGAGTGGGGAGGGGGCGAGACCGCCTATTGTTCCCGGCTCCGCGGGGAGGGGCGGCCCGGGGGTCGCCTCACGGATGGGGCCCCTCAGGGCTCCGCCGCGGACTCGCAGCCGCCCCGGGGCTGAGGGGTAGCCGGCTCCCGCGGTATTCCTGCCCTTTGCCCGTGCCCAGTGCTGGGCACCGCCGCTGCCCTCCGCTCCGGGCGTTCCCCTGCGCCTCCAGCTGACACCTGGAGGGACAGGGCTGTGTGCAAGCCGTGTGTCCCTTCCCCGCTACGTCCCAAGTCACATCTGGAGAGAAAAGGGGTCTGCAAGGTGTGTGCCCCCCCTTCCCAGTCCATCCCTGGTCACATCTGGAGGGAAGGCAGTGTGGAAGGTGTCCCCTCCTCCCTGCACGCTCACGTCTGGAGGGAAAGGGGCTTGGAAGGTGTGTGTGCCCCTCTCAGTCCATCCCAGCCCATGGCAGGGCATTGAAGGGGCATGACCCGTGTCCCTTCCACCCCAAACCATCCTGTGGTAAGGATCCTGCCATTCTGTGTGACCCTTGTAAGTTGGATTTTTGTCCTGAGGGCTGTGGGGGCTGCCAGGGCACACAGCTGGAGCCCCACTGCCCTGTCAGCAGCTCCGTGGCAATGACCAGGCAGTGCCCATCAGTCCAGTGCTTGTCCCAGTGTTCAAAGCACTCTCTGAACCTGTTGTGAATCAGGAAGCCACATCAGGAGAGGTTTAGGTTGGATTTCAGCAAAAAGTGCTGCAAAACCTGACCTTTTCACACAGCTCCTGTGCACACCTGTGCTGTGTTTCCCTCCTTCTCCCAGGCAGGTGTTACCTGGAGTCGCTTTCCCTTGTTTGGATCAGGGAAATCAGGCTCCCTGTAGAAGCCTCGTTCTGCAGTGCAGCAGGAAAGGCAGGAGGGAGAGAGGGAATCATTCCAGGGTGAGGGGATGTTGTGGACTGCTGCCACTCCCCGGGGCTTGAGAAACACCTTGGCTGAATGACCACAGGTCAGCAAGACCCCGACGTGCCTCACCCCAGCTGTCCCGAGCACTGACCACTCTCAGCTTCCCCAATCCCGGTGTTTTCCCACATTTTGGGAGCTATTCCTGGCCTTTGCAAACACACAGCGTTGGTGTGTTTATTTGAGAAGATGTTTTCCCCCATCCCAAGGGTCCTGTGGTGGCCTCGAGGTGTGCCAAGGAATGCAGGTCCCTGTCCTGGAGCACGTGCAGCTGGTGGCAAGGACAGGGCAGCACTGAGGCTGCAAAACACCTGCAGGATCACCGAGTCCTGCTTTAAAACACAGCTCAGGGCTGAGCAGCTTCCAGGCTGGGATTTCTCTGACTCCCTCCCTGTGACTTTTTGGGGTCACACAGGGATTGTCACCAGGTCGGGTGACAATTCCCTGCTCTTTAGCAAGAGCAGAAAGTGCAACTCATGTTAGTGGATGCTCAATCCATGCTCACATGGAGGTTTCTGTAGGATTTCTGCTCCAGAAATCTTCCCTGGGTGTGGATTTTGGAGCTTTCTGAGCTGTGTGGCTCCCAAAACTCTCTTCACCCTGTTTTATCCTTCCCAGTTGTTCCTGGAAGTAACTCCTTGTTTTTCTTTTTTTCCACCTCACCCCTGTCAGTGAGGAACAACCACAGACAGAAAGTGCAGCTTAGGGTGATCTTTAGTGGGTGTTAAATCCATGCTTACACAGGGATTTCTACACCAGAAATCCTCCCTGGGTGTGGATTTTGGGGCTCTCTGAGCTGTGTGGCCCCCAAAATTCTCTGCACCCTGGTTTTTCCTTCCTTAACCCATTGCAGTTGTTTTTCTGGAGCAGCTTGCAGCCACTCCTGGTAGTAACTCCTTGGTTTTGCCTTTTCCACCTCACCCGTGTCAGTGAGGGGGTGCAGAGCCCTGTGTTGCCTTAGGAGCAGGCAGGAGGCAGCCTTGGAGGTGACAGAGTCCTGTTGTTTGTGTTTTCCATGGATGCACGTGGGATACGTGTCTTAAATTAAATTATTTTGTGGTCTGAAGCACGCTCAGGTGCTGGCAGCGCTTGGGTTTGGCTTCTCAAGATGAACTTGGATAACACAGCCCTTCATCTGCAGAGTCATCAACCAACTGGTTAATTGGATTCTGGTGCAATTAGCAGGAAAGAGGGGTGGGAGAGGTGCAGGAAGAGCCAGGACTGAGCTCTCCTGGCAGGGTCACCTGGGTGCTGGAGTTTCTGTACTGGGAAATCAGTGTAGAAATGTGGGAACTGGAATTTTTGTACTGGGAAATCAGTGTAGGCATTTGGGAACTGGAATTTCTGTACTGGGAAAACAGTGTAGGGATTTGGGAACTGGAATTTCTGTACTGGAAAATCAGTTTGGAAGGTCAAGTTCATGGAGTCATGGAATACTGGGACAGTTTGTGTGGGAAGGGACATGAAACCCATCCGGTGCCACCCCTGCCGTGGTGAGGACATCTCCCAGTGTCCCAGGTTGCTCCAAGCCCTGTCCAGCCTGACCTTGGACACTCCCAGGGATCCAGGAGCTCCTCTGGGGGTTCCATCCCAGCCCTTCCTCCCCCTGATTCCATCCATTATCCCATCTCACCCAGCCCTGTGGCAGTGGGAAGCCATTCTCCCTTTTGCTATCCCTTCATCCCTGGTCCCAAGCCCCGTTCCACGTTCCAGCGTGTCCAACATCCGTGTCCATACCTGTGTTTGACCCTCAGCTACGTGGGGAACCTCTCCAGGGACGTGACCGAGGCTCTGATCCTCCAGCTCTTCAGCCAGATCGGCCCCTGCAAGAACTGCAAGATGATCATGGATGTAAGAGCCCGAACGCTCCCACTTCCCTGCTCCTCCTGGGAGCTGCAGGCTCCAGACTCTTCTCCTGCCTCTGGGAATTCCCCTGGGAACGGCCCAGCCTCCTTCAATAAACCTGCAGCCACACTCCCGTGGGTTTGCCATCGTTTCTGCACGTGCCTGGTGCTGAATTTAAACATGGGCGGGTGTGGAGAGGGACAGTGAGCTCATTAAATCAGGAGGGGATTGCAAACAAGCTTTGGAAAATTAGTTTGTCTTTTTACCTTTCTAAAGGAGAATTGGAAGCTTTGTTAGTCCCTGTAGGGTCAGACAACCTGTCCACATGGGGCAGTCAGAGGCTGAGCAGAGCAGCCAGAGCCCAGCTTTGTGTCTCTAATCCTGGGTTTGTGCCCCTAATCCCGGATTTGTGTCCCTAGTCCCAGTTTTGTGTCTCTAATCCCAGGTTTATGTCCCCAGTCCCAGTTATGTCCCAGTCCCAGCTTTGTCCCAGTCCCAGCTGTGCCCTAAGCCCAGCTCGCTCCCTGTCTCAGACAGCTGGCAACGACCCCTACTGCTTCGTGGAGTTCTCCGAGCACCGGCACGCGGCCGCGGCGCTGGCTGCCATGAACGGCAGGAAGATAATGGGTAAGGTAAGCTGCCGTGCCCGCCGTGAGTGTGCCAGGGCAGAGCCAGCTGTGCCAGGGCCGTCAGGGTGTTGGGAGGAGAAATTCAGTGTTGTACGGGGAAGTTCAGAGTGTTGCGAGAAGGAATTCATGGTCTTGGGAGGAGTTTAGAGTGTTGGGAGAAGTTCAGAGTGTTGGGAGGAGAAATTCAGGGTGTTGGGAGGAGTTCAGAGCATTGGGAGAAGTTCAGGATGTTGGGAGGAGGATCTCCTAGCATTGGGAAGAACATGGAGCTGAGGATGTGGAGCTGGGAGGAAAATCACGGAATTCCAGAGTAGTTGGGTTGGGAGGCCCCTCTGGAGATGATCCCGAGCCAAAGCTCATCCAGAGCAGGGTGCACAGGGGAATATCCCAGCAGGGTTTTGATGTCTGCTGAGAAGGAGCTACCACAGCCCATTCCAGGCCTCAAGGGAAAGTTTTCCTTCATATTTTCCCTCATTATTTTCCTTCTTTTCCTCATATTCAGGTGGAACATCCCATGTTTCAGTCCATTACCCTGTCACTGGGAACCACTGCTCAGAGTCTGTCCTCATCCTCTTCACAATCACCCTTGAGACATTTGGGAGCCATTCCCTGTGTCCTGTCCCTCCAACCCCTGAAGCCTTCCCTCCTCCAGGAGGGCAGCTCTACCCCTGTTCATTTAACAACAAACCTTCTCCCTAGAAAAATGGTTTAAAAGTCAAGTTTTAACCCCAGCCTTGCACCCCTGTAGGGTCAGATTTGAGCCCTGGAGATGTCTGAGCTTTTTTAGGATTTGCCAAATCTGATGTGTGATTCCCATTTGCAGGAGGTCAAAGTGAACTGGGCCACCACTCCCAGCAGCCAGAAGAAAGACACCAGCAGTAAGTGTCACCTGTGCAGTAACAGCTGGAGTTTTAATAAAGGGTTTTTAAGAGGTTTTTTCCCTCTGCTTTGCTCAGAGGCATCTTCAACCACTGAATCCTTTCTCTGTTTCCCCAAAGATCATTTCCACGTCTTTGTCGGAGACCTCAGCCCTGAGATCACAACTGAAGACATCAAAGCAGCCTTTGCTCCCTTTGGAAGAATCTCGTAAGTCCTTTTTTTTTTGTTGAGCAGATCAAGATCTCTCTCCTGAGTGGAGGCACCTTTGTGTTCAGTCAGTGACACTGTGGCAGTGTCACAATTCTTCTCACACAGCCACATCCTTTATCCCACCTGGTCTGTGGAAAACCCAGACCCTGCACCTGGGCTGTGCATTTCCCTGGGCACTCTGGATTTTTGGGGCCAACCCTGCTTTTTGTGGCATTCATTGTGGGATCCAACAGAGAACAAATATTCCTGCTGCTTTGGAGAGGGATTTTCCTCAGGCATCTGGCTCTGTCGGTGCCACAATTAATGTTAATTAGGCTTAAAACCTCCAAGCCTTAACGAACTTTGTGCCCACTGTGGCTTTTCAGTGCTCTGCTGGTTTCTCTGCCCCCTCTGATTTCACTTCCATGATTTCCTGACTGGTTTTGGGGTTTTTTTTTGGCTTTTCTGAAGAGTGGACAGAATTCCATGGCGGACCAAAGGCTACAGTTCACAGTGGAGAAACGCTGTAGTTTTATTTATCAATTTTATTCCTTTTTCCCTTCTGGTTTTTTTTTTCTGTACCTCACAGTTCCAGTCACTCCTATTTGGTAATGATGCCTGATGTGTGGTTTTAAGACTTGAAATGTGTTTTCTATTCTTTAATAATTAATATTCAATGTAATAATTAATTAAATTTCCATTCAGTTCAAAATAATTCAGTGATTTCAATAATCTGAAATATCAATCTCTCCAAATTTACAGCTGCCCACAGCCCAAAAAGGGGTAACAAATTGACCTGAGAATTAAGGAATTCAGTTAACAGCCGACGTATGCCTTTCAATTCCTATTTTTTCATTTTTATTTTCATTTTCTATTCCTTTCTATTGAACATTTGCAATGAGCAGGTAGAATGTGTTGGCAAATAAAGAAGATTTTAAAACTTGAATGGTTCTAAGCAGTGATGTGGAACAGCTGCCTTGTGCCTTTCCCAGCCTGGCAGCATCAGCCAGCTTTAAAACTCAGCTATTTCTTAAAGAACCTCTTGATTTGCATGTTGTAAATTTAATTTTGCTCCTTTAGCCAAGCTGTGTGTGGAGAAGGAGATGCTTTGAGCCTGGTGGAGGGGAGAGGGGAGAGGTGGGGCTGAGCTGTGGGGCTGAGCTGGGTCCCTTTGTGCTTTCAGGGACGCACGGGTGGTCAAGGACATGGCCACAGGCAAGTCCAAGGGCTACGGCTTCGTCTCCTTCTTCAACAAATGGGTGAGAGATCCTGGTTTCCATTCCAAAAAATGGGTAAAATCCCCTCACTTCCCTCTTAATAAACGGGTAAAATCCCTTAATTTACCTCTTAATAAATGGGTGCGAGATCCTGGTTTCCTTCCTCAAAAAAATGGGTAAAATCCCCTCAGTTCCCTCCTAATAAATGGGTAAAAACTGTTCAGTTCCCTCATAATAACTGTGTGAGAGATCTTGGCTTACATCCCAAAAAATGGGCAAAGTCCCATCATTTCCCTCTTAATAAATGGGTAAAATCCCTTCATTTCCTTCTTTAATAAATGGGAGATAGCTCTTCACTTCCTCTTTCAATGAATGGGTAAAATCCCTTCCTTTCCTTGTTCCAAAAATGGCCAAGATATCAAATTCCTTCAGAAAATGGGAAAGATTCCTTCATTTCTTTCTCCAATAAATGGGAAGGATCCCTTCATCCAATAATTGGGTGGGATCCTTTCATTTCCCCAGGAAGGGCTTGGGACACTGCCAGGGTCACTCAGGAGGGCACTGGGGTTCCCCTGTGGCCCTGTCCCCCAGGAAGGGGTGCCAGCAGTGGGGTCAGAGGGGTTTTTCTCTCCCTCTCCCTCCTCCAGGACGCCGAGAACGCCATCCAGCAGATGGGGGGCCAGTGGCTCGGGGGCCGGCAGATCAGGACCAACTGGGCCACCAGGAAACCTCCAGCTCCCAAGAGCACCTTTGAGAGTAGGTGCCCACCCTGTGCCCTGCCAGCTCCTGGCGTGGGGGATCCCAGAGTTTTTGGGGTGGGAAGGACCTCAGAACCCATCCCACCCCACCCCTGCCTTGAGCAGGGACACCTTCCCCAATCCCAGGGTGCTCCAAGCCCTCCAGCCTGGCCTTGGACACCAGCAGGGATGAAGCAGCCACAGCTGCTCTGGGAATTCCATCCCCACCCTCATTCCTTCCCAGTATCCCACCCCAGTCTCCCAGTTTGAAGCCATTCCCTGGGTCCTGTCCCTCCACCCCTTGTCCCCAGTCCTTCTCCAGCTCTCCTGGATCCCTTTAGGCCCTGCAAGGTGCTCTGAGATGTCCCTGTAAATATTTGCAGGTCGTTCCCAACAATCCTGTACCAGTCAGGACTAAAATTCTCCCCCCAAAATTCCCGTCCCACCCTTTGAAAACCAAATGCAACATCCCAAACTCCAATCTCTTGCAGCAAACACCAAACAATTGTCCTACGAGGAGGTGGTCACTCAGTCCAGCCCCAGCAACTGCACCGTGTACTGCGGGGGGGTCACCTCGGGCCTCACAGGTACGTGTGGGCCCAGCCCCTGGCAGCTGTCCCCCTGTCCCCACGGGTGCCTGACGCTGCTGTCTGTCTGTCCTTCCTGCTCCAGAGCAGCTGATGCGCCAGACCTTCTCCCCCTTCGGGCAGATCATGGAGATCCGAGTGTTCCCGGACAAAGGCTACTCCTTCGTCAGGTGGGAGCATGGGGCTGACCCAGGGGAGAGGGTCTTTCCTTCCTCTGCTCTGGAACAGGTGGGGAAAATCCCAAAAAGCACTTGGGACAGGGCCCTTTGTCTTCCATCACCCCAGAGAATTCACCAAACCATCCCAAATCAGAGGGTTTTTCATGCCTCTGCTCTGAGGAGGGGTTATGGCCATAAAAAGTGGGAAAAATCCTAAAAATCACTGGGAACAGGGATCTTTGTCATATGGGAAGATCCATTTATTTCCTTCTCTAATTAATGGCAAGATCCCTTCATTTCTTACCAATGAATGGTGACTTCAACGTCTCCCATTCAGTAAAATAAAATCTATTAAAAAAATCAATAAAAATCAAGAAACATTGTAAAAGAATTAATAAATTGACTGATCTTTCCCATTTAATAAAGAAATCGGTGAAAAATATCCCGATAAATATCCCCAATAACTATTCCAAATAAATATTCCCAATCAATATTCCCAATCAATATTCCAGTCAATACCAAATCAATATTTCCCCCGGCAGGTTCAGTTCCCATGAGAGCGCCGCCCACGCCATCGTCTCGGTCAACGGCACCACCATCGAGGGCCACGTGGTCAAGTGCTACTGGGGCAAGGAGACGGCCGACATGGCCGGGCCCGTGCCGCAGGTCAGGGTCCCTGCAGAGCCCAGGGAGCCGTTAATTAACCAGCTTGTTAATTAGGGCGTGCGAGTGAGGGAGGGATGGATGATAGGTGGATCTATGGGTGGATGGATGGATGATGGACGGATGGATGATGGACGGATGGATGATGGATGGATCCATCAATGGATGATGGCTCCATGAATGGATCCATGGATGATGGATGGATCCATGGATGGATGATGTATCTATGGATGGATGATGGATGATGGAGGGATGGATGGATGGATAATGGATGGATGGATGATGGATGGATCCATCAGTGGATGATGGCTCCATGGATGGATGGATGGATGGATCCATCAATGGTTGATGGCTCCATGGATAGATGGATCCATCAGTGGATAATGGATCCATGGATGGATGATGGATGGCTCCATGGATGATGGATGGATCCATGGAGGGATGGATGGATGGATGATGGATGGATCCATGGATGGATGATGGCTCCATGGATGGATGGATGGATGGATGGATCCATGGATGGATGATGCCTCCATGGATGGATGGATGGATGGATCCATCAGTGGATGATGGCTCCATGGATGGATTCCCCGTTCCCTGACTCCTGCCCGTGTGTCCCAGGGCCAGCTGAGCTACCCGCCGGCCTACGGGCAGTGGGGGCAGTGGTACGGCGGTGCCCAGCTGGGCCAGTACGTGCCCAACGGCTGGCAGGTGCCCGCCTACGGCGTCTACGGCCAGGCCTGGAGCCAGCAGGGCTTCGGGTGAGTCCGGGGCGCTTTTACCCCAAATTTCATCCCCTTGGGGAGGGATTGGTGCACCTCGGATCCACAGCGGGGTGGGGACATCCCAGTGAGGTGGGGACATCCCAGCAGGGGTGGGGACATCCCAGTGAGGTGGGGACATCCCAGCAGGGGTGGGGACATCCCAGCAGGGGTGGGGACATCCCAGTGAGGTGGGGACATCCCAGTGAGGTGGGGACATCCCAACAGGGGTGGGGACATCCCAGTGAGGTGGGGACATCCCAGCAGGGGTGGGGACATCCCAGTGAGGTGGGGACATCCCAGCAGGGGTGGGGACATCCCAGTGAGGTGGGGACATCCCAGTGAGGTGGGGACATCCCAACAGGGGTGGGGACATCCCAGTGAGGTGGGGACATCCCAACAGGGGTGGGGACATCCCAACAGGATTTTGGGTGACTCCAGAGCCGTTTTTATCCCTTTTATCCCTTTTGGGAAGGAATTTTTGCACCTCAGATCCACAGCAGGGTGGGGACATCCCAACAGGGGTGAGGACATCCCAAACGGTCTTTGGCTGCCTCCAGATCCATTTTTACCCCATTTTTTTCCCATTTTAGAAGCAATTTCACCTCTCTCACCCCCTCAAATCCCCATAACCCCTCTCCCCACAAGCCCCAGGTCTCTTTTGGGATTTCTGACGGATTTTCCCTCCCTGCAGGCAGAACCAGCCGTGGCTGGGCCCCGGGTACGGCCCAGGCCAGAACGGGGCCGTGGTGCCGGCCCAGCCCGGCTTCCGCGTGGGCTTCGAGAGCCCCTGAGCCCACGGCACCAGAATCACCAAAACCTCCTGTTTCACCCCAAAAACCGGCCAGGAGCTGCATGGCCTTCGAGACCACCTGAGCCCAACGGCACCAGAATCACCAAAACCTCCTGTTTCACCCCAAAAATAACCCAGGTGCCGCGTGGTGTTCGAGACCCCCTGAGCCCCCGTAGCGTCCAAACGGCACCAAAACCCTCCTGTTTCACCCCAAAAACCGGCCAGGTGCTGCGTGGCCAGCACCGATTTTTAATCTTTTGTTTTGCTTTTTTTTCTGGTTTTTTTCCTTTTATTTATTTTTACTTTTTTTTTACTTTTTTTTTCCTTTATTTTTACTTTTTCCCCCCTTTTTTTTTTGCTTTTTTTCCTTTATTTTTCCTTCTCTTTCCCTTTTTTCCCCTTATTTTTTTGCTTTTTTTCCTTTTTCCCCCTTTTTTTTTACATTTGTTTTGCTTTTTTCCTTTTTTTCCCTTTTTTTGCTATATTTTTCTTTTTTTCCCCTTTTTTCATCTTTTTTCCTTTTTTCCCTTTATTTTTCTTTTTTTTTGCCTTTTTTCTCCTTTTCTTTTGCCTCTTTTTTGCCTTTTTTATGTTTTTTGGGTTTTTTATCATTTTTTTTGCTTTTTTATTTCTCCTTTTTTCCTTTATTTTTCCTTTTTTTCCTTTTTTTGCATTTTTTAGCTTTTTGGGTTTTTTCCTCCTTTTTTTTCTTTTTTATTTTTGCTTTTTTTTCCTTTGTTTTTCTTTTCCCTTTTTTTTTTCTTTTTTTCCTTTTTCTCTTTTTTTCTTTTTTTTTTTTTTTCTTTTTAGTGTTTTTTTTTCTTTGTTTGTTTTTTTCTGTCTTTTGGGGTTTGTTTTGGTGTTATTTTTTTTAATGTGTTTTTATACAAACAAAACTGCAGGGACTTGGCTGCCTCAGCTGAGAATCGAGGCAGGAATTGCACAAAGTCATCCTTGGGGGGTGTTTTGGTTTGTTTTTTAATTTTTAAAATTTTTTTCGAGGGGTTTTCCCTCAGAAAAAGCAGAAAAAGCTGGGGAAAAAAACAAAAAACACCCCAAAAAAAGCCAAAAGTGTGGGAATCCTGGAGCTGCCTTCAGCCTCACACCCTCCTTTTTAAAGGAGATTTTTTTAGCCAGAAAAATCCTTCGTTTACATCCTTTTTTTGTGCATCTCAGGGTGGGTTTTTTTGCCTTATACTGGGAAAAAAATATTTAAAAAAATAAAAATAAAAAAGGGACTCAAAAGTGCCCAACTCTCCCCACATGAGCCAAAATTCCCACCCTGGGACAGCAAAATTCCTGTTGCTAAAATGTGACAAATCCCTTTGGGGTTGGTTTTTTGGGGTTTTTTAAAATTTTTTTACTGATTTTTACATTTTCCTGTACTGATTCTGTAAAATATTAGGAGCAAATTGAAGAATTTTTGCACAACCTCAGCCACTTTTGTACTTTTTTCCTTATTTAAAGGTAGGACACGGAGTCTCTTAATGTGATTTATGCCTCAAATCTTCCTTGTTTTTTTTTTTTTTTTTTTTTTTTTTTTTTGTGGATATGAAATATCTCTTGGAATATAAAATTTTTAATCCACTGTGAAAAATCCCCTCCGTACCCAGGTGTGTTTCACAAGGGAGTGAAGCTGAGAAGAGCTCCCAAACCTCATCTATCAGAGGCCAAAAAACGCCCTTTTTTATCCTACCTCTCGCCCAGCCTTTAAAAAAAAAACGCAAAAAAAAAAAAATCGCAAAAAATGGAAAAAAAAACCGAAAAGCTTTTTTTTTAACCAAAAAAAAAAAAAAAAAAAAGGAAAAATGAAAAAAACTGAGCTGTTTGTATGCTGTGTTTTGTCCGGTGGTTGGGGGGGGTGGAGCTGCTGGGATTTGGGGGGAATGAGTGGAATTTGGGGGGGAAAAAGGAAATTTTTTGGGGGAAAAAAGGGAAATTGAGGCAATCTCCCCGCGGGGGCTGCTGGGAGTAGTAGTCCAGGCGTCATGGCGGGTTTAGCGCCGCGTTGGACTACAACTCCCAGCATCCCCCGCGGCGCACCACGTGGTGCCAGCGGGCCAATGGGAGCGCGCCGGTGGCGGAAGCGGAGCTCCCCTCACGGTGCTGGCGGCGGCGGTAACGGGGCCCGGCGGCGGGGCTGACGTCACGGGCCGCGAGGGATGCTGGGAAACCCCGGGAGACGGCGGTGAGAGAGCCGGGGATGGCCGGGAGGGGAGAGGGGAGAGACCCCCGGGACTGGGGAGAGGAGAGAGACCCCCGGGGTTGGGGTGAGGGGGACATGGCGACCAGCAGAGCGACCAGAACAGGACTTGGTGGGCAAAAAGGGCTGGTGAGGAGCCCAGGGGTGGCACAGGATGGTGACACCAGCTGGTGGCACTTGGGGACACGGTCAGTGGTGGCCCTGGTGGTCCTGAAGCTCCTGTCCCCCCGAAATGTCCCCATGAGATGTGACACCAACAGCGCTGCCACCCCTGCCCACTGTCCCTGTGCCCGGGTGGCACTCCTGGGGTGCCCCAGAAGCTCCTGGGCAGGGTTTGGTGGCAGCTCCAGGAGGAGCAGAGGGTCCCATTGACACAGGGGATGTGTGGCAGGGCTGAAGTCGCTGTCCTGGGCGCTCAGAGTGGCACAGGGTGACACTGGGACTCTAAGGGTGCTCACTGGGGTGGCACAGGGACCAGACAGGGTGGCACAGAAACTGCTAGGCTGACCACTGGGGTGGCACAGGGACTCTCAGGGTGGCACAGGGACTCTCAGGGTGACCCCTGGGGTGGCACAGGGACCCCTGGGGTGGCACAGGGACTCTCAGGGTGGGACAGGGACTCTCAGGCTGACCCCTGGGGTGGCACAGGGACTCTCAGGGTGGCACAGGGACTCTCAGAGTGACCCCTGGGGTGGCACAGGGACCCCTGGGATGGCACAGGGACTCTCAGGGTGGGACAGGGACTCTCAGGGTGACCTCTGGGGTGGCACAGGGACTCTCAGGGTGGTACAGGAACTCTCAGGCTGACCCCTGGGGTGGCACTGGGACTCTCAGGGTGGCACAGGGACTCTCAGGCTGACCCCTGGGATGGCACAGGGACCCCTGGGGTGGCACAGGGACTCTCAGGGTGGCACAGACACCCTCAGGCTGCCCCCTGGGCTGCTCAGACCCCTGTGCCCCCCATCCCATCCCATCCCATCCCTCCCCAGCTCCATGGATCCGTGCCCGGGCAGACCCAAAGCCCCGTCCTTCCTGTCGGACCTGGGCAAGGCCACGCTGCGTGGCATCCGCCGGTGCCCTCGCTGCGGCACCTACAACGGCACGCGGGGGCTGAGCTGCAAGAACAAGACGTGCGGCGCCGTGTTCCGGGCGGGCGCGCGGCGCCAGCCGGGCACCGACGCCGTGCGGCTGCTGGGCGGCGCGCGGGGGCAGCTCTACTCGGTGCGCCAGCGCGACTCGCGCTGCTTCGTGGAGCTGGGCACCTCCGAGACGGCCATCCAGACCCCCGAGGGCACCCTGCTCACCCAGCTGAGCTCAGGCCGCTGCCACGCGCCCGCGTGCGCCAAGGCGGCGGCCGACAAGCAGTGCCAGCACCTGAAGCTGGCGCTGGGCTGCCAGGCCGAGGCCACGCCGCTGCCGCTCAAGAGCTCGGTGCTGGGCGCCGTGCAGGCGCCCGCCGAGGCCAAGCAGAGCCTGTGGGCGCTGGCCACCGAGCCCACGGGGCCGCTGGTGCAGAGGGTCACCAAGAGCGTGCTGGTGGTCAAGTGCCAGGCCAGCCAGAGGCACGGCCTGGGCTACCTGCACGCCAGCTTCGGCCAGCGGCGCTTCTCCTGCGCCTGCCGCCCGCCCGGGCACGGCCGTGCCAGGCGCCGCCAGCAGCAGGAGGAGGAGGAAGAGGAGGAGGAGGAGGAAGAGGCGCCCCCCGCGCGCTGCATCCACTTCCTGGCCTGCATCTGCGCCTTCGCCAGCGACGAGAGCCTGGCACAGGAGTTCTCCGAGTTCCTCGCCTCCGACGGCAGCGGTGGGACTGGCAGGGGTTTGGGGTACCCTAAAGGCTGTCTGGGGCACCCTAAAAACCTGCCTGGGGGCACCCTAAGGGTCTGTCTGGGGCACCCTAAAAACCTGCCTGGGGGCACCCTTAAGGCTTTTCTGAGGGCACCCTACAAACCTGCCTGGGGGCACCCTAAGGGTCTGTCTGGGGCACCCTAAAAACCTGCCCAGGGGCACCCTTAAGGCTTTTCTGAGGGCACCCTACAAACCTGCCTGGGGGCACTCTAAGGGTCTGCTGGGGGCACCCTAAAAACCTGTCTGGGGGCACCCTAAAGGCCTTTCTGAGGGCACCCTAAAGGCCCCCTAAAGACCTGTCTGGGGGCACCCTAAAGATGTGCCTGGGGGCACCCTAAAGGCCTCTCTGGGGGCACCCAAATGCCACAGCAGGAACATCTGGGGTTCATTTCCCTAAACCCCTCCCACAGCAGGAATATTTGGGGTTCATTCCCCCACATCCCGCAGCAGGAATATTTGGGGTTCATTCCCCCAAATCCCACAGCAGGAATATTTGGGGTTCATTCCCCCAGATCCCGCAGCAGGAATATTTGGGGTTCATTCCCCCACATCCCGCAGCAAGAATATTTGGGGTTCACCCCATTTAGGAGGTTCTGCACCCCAATAACCCCACACAGCCCAAGTTGCAAACCACCATGAGAGCAGGATAAACCCCCCCATCCCCTCCAGAGGAGCCTCCTGGGACGGTGGGGGGTTCGTTGGGGTTTTGGGGGTCCCCGTGCCCCTCAGTGCCCCCGTGGCTGGTGGCTGGGATGTTTTTAGGGACAGAATTTGCATCCCCAGGTCTGAAGGGGACAGTGACCCCACAGCTGCTGCGGGGCCCTGGCTCGGCACCACGGGCTCGGGGGGCGGCTGCTGCCAGGGCCAAGAGGAGGAAAAGGGACCCGGGGCCAGGTGAGTGTCCCTGGGGGGCTGAAATCCCCCCAGAGTGGCTCCAGGGGGTCAGATCCAGCTGTGGAACCCCTGGAACAGCTCCATGGGGTCAGATCCAGCTGTGGAACCCCTGGAGCAGCTCCAGGTGTTGGGCCCTGGGAAGGGATCTGGGATGAATATTCTGTGGGGTCAGATCCAGCTGTTGGAACCTCTGGAGCAGCTCCAGGTGTTGGGAACTCCCTGCCCCAGGCCCGTGGGGGTCGCTGGTGGTGGTGTGGGGGTGGAGGCCCAGAGGAGGGAGGTGGCAGTGGGTGGCACAGATTGACAGCAGGTGACAATCCCTCCCTCAGCCCCGCAGGT